GGAGGCCAGAACCCTGCGCTGGTCCTGGCTGCTGCCGGGATGGTTGTGGGCTTATGTGGTGCCACCGGACAGACGGACGTCTGAGCCGATGGACAGGGTGTAGAGCAGCTCCTCTTGTCCCCAAGCCCCAGCCTGCGAGCGCGGGCTCCCACGTGCGAGGGCCTGGCTGCAGAGCTGCTGCCGCGGTGGGTAGCTTTGCCCCCGGGGCTCCCGTCGTGCAGGCTTTGGTGGCCAAGGGTGGTGCTGAGGCTGTCGTGGGGAGCTGCCAGGCCTGGTTCTTCCCGGCTGGCCAGGAGCTGCCTCTGCTCCCCAGCAGTGCGTGCAGCACACTTTGTTCCTCCATGTTCAGAGCAGTGCTCAGAGCCGCGAGGAGCTTGCTCTGTGACTGGCTGCAGGAGCCCAGGGTGGAGGCAGCTGAGTCGATACAGACTGGACGGCTCTTTCCTGCTGGCCCCAGCCCCGCGTGAGCTGAAGTTGGGCCCCTCCGTCCCCGAGAGCTCCTTGGCCCGCGCGGCAGTTGCCAGCTTGCCCATTGTCTCTCCTGCAGGGCTGGGTTTCTTTTGCTGTTCTCTGCTATTTGGGCTCTGACATGGGGCACATGCACCCGGCCCTCCTGCCTGAGCTGGAGGCTGTGCCAGCACCTCCTGTTCTCCCTGTGTGCGCTTTGGCCTCTCCGGCACTTGACTGTGTCCCAAACCCTTGTTGATAACCCCAGAGGACATCCTGCTCTTGCAGCAGCGGTGGATCTCTCCGTCCACGGCCGGTTCTTTCTTGTTGGCCAGAAGCTCTGGATGGGGAGAGAAGCTGCAGACGGGGGAGAATCCAGGACTGCACTGAGCAGCTGAATTGGAGCTAGTGCCCTGTTAAAAGACTGATGCATGTTAACGAGGAGAGAGGTTATTTGTGATATTGGGGCACCTTTACTGCTTCGCTGATTTGGCTCTGCTGCTTGGCATCGATACAGTTGGGCAGCAGAAGATGAACCCCAAGCAGGGGAAAGAAGTGGACACGTTGCACGGTAATATTGTAGTTCCTGCTGCCAGCGTCACGGTTGTGTCAGCAGTGATGCGGCCCCAATTGCTCTGACCCCAGATTTTGGTTCTTGGGACAAAGCAATGACAGTAAATGTTATTGGGATTATTTGATCTCAGCAGTTTTCCTACCAGGAGTAGGGGGGTTGGACGTGATATTTTGAGGTCCCTTCCAGCCCTTAATTTCTATGACTGTATGGAAATAGAACATTTTAATACTTCCCCCTTCCCTCCCCACCCCAAATCTGTGCATGTTTCGGGTATCTGGGGAGCAGGTTGCGTACCTGCAGGCAAAGGCCTGCTCCAAAAGAGCGGTTAAGGCTCCTTCTTTCTTGGCCTGGGAGTGGAGCCGATGAGGGCAGTGTCCAAAGTGCAGCTAGCTGCTTTACACCTTTGATGAGTCTTGGAGGAAACCAGGCCTGCGAGGAAGATGCTCTGAATGTGGGAGCAAGTTGCTCCAGGTGCCTGGGGGCATTTGTCACATGCGACACCCCTGCAGGAACCAGTAAATGGGGCAGGCTCCAGCCCTGCCAGGTCCCTGTGCATGCCTGCATCGCGTGCCGCCTGGCTCCTCCCCTGCCCTTGTCCGTCCGGGAGTGCTTCTCGCTCAGACATGTTCTTCCCTGTAATTGTGTCCTTTGCACGTTGCTGCTTGGCTCTTTGCCCCAGGGTCTCGCCGCCTCCCGAGCTCAGCAGGGCTGGGCCTGGCTGGTGCTGGGATGAGAGATGTCCAAAGGAAGCCCTTGCAAGACATGGTGACCAGAGCTCCCTTCTGCGCCAGCCCTGCTCGGTGTTGGGGTTTGTTGGGCATGAAGCCCGCAGGATCTGCATAGGTCCCTGCAGCGTTAGGTGCTTTATGGATGCGATGAGAAGATGTATCCTCTCCCAAAGAGGCTGCAGTGCAAGGCCAGGTCTTCATTGCACCTGGGCAGGGCTGGCATGTGCTGGGCTGGCGAAAGCGCCATGCTGTCTGCACATGCGGCCTCCGTGAGGATGCCGATGCAGCAGCCGCGGCCAGATGTCCATGTCCCGGGCTTGGCCTCTGTGCACAGAGCGTGACGCTACAGGCAAGACCGTCCTTTTAACTGGCCCATGGTACTTCCTGCAGCAGCATGTGTGAGAGCCGGAGCACTCTGGCCATTTGTACCTGGGGCCTTTTCCCAGGGGCCCTGAATGACACTGGCCGCAGGGAGCGGTGCCGGCCGGAGTTGAGCTTGCTGCCGCCACGCTGCTCCAGTCCCTCCAAGGGCTGGGAATCTGCGGCCCCAGTCAGCACTCGGCAGCACGGTCCGTGGGGGCAGCTGGTCGCTGTCCCTTGGGGCCGACGTGGATAGAGTGAAGTCCTCCGTTTTCGTCCTGTTGTCCCTGCGCCTGCGGGTCTGACTGGGGCGCGTGGGCTCCCAGCGCTCGGTGCAGCAATTGCCAGGTGCTGGTTTCTGTGGCGCGCCGCCTTCCCGTGGCATGGCACCTGCCAGCTGGGAGGACGCGCTCTGTCCGGCCCCGTGCCCTCCGGGCATTTAGTGCCTTGCTGCGCCTTTGGCTTCTTTGTCGTGGCGTCCTGGATCGCGTTGGTGGCGAGCAACACATTGCGCATTGAATTGATTTCTTCTCGGTTTGGGCAGGCACACGATGAACTCACGAGCAGCACGGCAGCGCCTTGAAAGAGCTCGTGAGTGGTAGAAACCGTCTGTGAGTGAAGGGAACCGCACTTTGAGCTTTCTTTCGTGGTGTTATTAATGGAGGGCAGCGAACTGAGGGCTGGTGTCTGGGCACCGTTGCCAGCCAGCGCAGCCGGATGCCTGGTGGGCTTGTCAGCAGCGTCACGCAGGTTTGGTGCCAGTCTCTACCCCTCTACCCCCAAAATTGAGGCTCTGAGCCCCCAAACTCGCCAGGGCCTCTGCGTGGGCAGAGCTCATCCTCGCCTGCCACATTGTCCCTCCTCCAGCTCCCCCGTTCCTAGCGCCCAGTGGGCTGGTCCATGCACAGGAAATATTTCCTCTGCTTTACTGATTGATTTCAGAAGAAATTAAGGCAAAAGCTCTTTGGTGCCCCAGACTGAAAGCTGCTTGCGTTCAGAAACGGGGGAGGTCTGGCATTTGCTCCATTCGGAAGACACCGGAATAGCACAGTGGTGAGTGCAGGATGTGGTATCGAGACGTTTATAAACCCAGATTTGGACTCCAGAAAACGTTTCCCCCGACTGTCTAATTAGAAACCAGCACGCTCCTGCTTATTTAGACCTCGCAGAAGGCGTTTTCTATTTAAAGCCTGCAGCAGGCTGAGCCCTGGGGTTGTCATAGCTTCAGGTTGGATTTAAAATGGGTTCTTTTAAAAAAAGAAAAGTGTGTTTGGACATGGGGAGCTGGTGGGTGGCTGTAAATTGCGTGTGCTCAGTCCGCGGTGGGGGGGGAGGGGGGGCTGAGCGCCGAGCTCCCACCCACTGCGGGGGAGCCCTTGCCCTCTGGGGTGCATGGGATGTGCTGCAGGGTGGCGTCAGGGCTGCAGACCCCAGTGGGTTGCGCCCTTAGGCCTGCCCTTGCGGCAAAGCTCTGGTTCAAAGCAGCCTCCTGCGGCCGCTGGAGCAGCCTCCAGGGTCGGACGCTTCTTCCGGGCAGATCTTCTGGGCCCGCTGCTGCCGTGGGACAGCAGCTGCTTTCCGGCAAGGGCTTTGTCACGCTGGCGCTCTCCTCCCGCCCCTGCGTGGAGGGTGGGCTGCGAGCCCAGATGGGGCTGGCTGGGAGTGCCCGGGGCTGCTTGGTTGGGACAGACATCTGGGGCGAGGCGCTGTGAGTTGAGGTCCTGGCGGGGGTCCTGCCTTGCTCCCCCGGTGCCTCCTGCTGGGGCTTTGCTGGAGCGGGCTGCGCAGGGGAGCAGCGGGAGCCGCCTCGGCCACCCAGGCCCCGCATCCTCAGGATGCCCCCCTGGCCCTGCAGACTCGTGCTGGGGCGAGGGGCAGCCCTCCAGCCCTGACCCACATCTGTCCAGGCTGTGGGCAGTGAAGTCGTGTGTCCCTGGTGGGGCCTGGCTCAGCTGCAAATCTGCCTGGTGACAAGTTTGGCTCCGTGGCTGCCATCCCGGGACGGCCAGAGCTTGCTGCGCGCGGGCCGCGTGGGTGCGGAGCCGGGGGTCGCACCCTCTGCCCGGCAGCTGCCTCCAGCCAGCCGGTCCCCTCCACCCAGGAGCCTTGCAGCCCCAGTGTGGCCGGCAAGCCCTGGCCCTCCCACGTGGGGCTCCAGTGGCTTCCCGAGCAAGCTCACGTGCATCCAGCCACGGCCTGCGACTTGAGCAGGTTTCCTGGAGCCCTGTGGTGGGAAGGGGGTAACGTAAAGATGCTCAGGTGCAGTCAGTTTAACCAGGGACGTAAAAGGGGTTTCGTCTCCTGTCCTGGTTCCACCATCCCTCGGATCGGGGGGGGTGTGGCTGCGTAAAGATGGGGATGCGCCGAGCAGGAGTCTCGGTGCTGTAGAGAGACGGGGCGGTGAACAAGTAGAACCAGCTCTGCTCGGTCTGGCAGCGGCAGAATCGGAGCTGATTGTAATCAGGGCGGAGAGGCAGGGCCCGGGCAGCTGCAGAGCTCTGAGAGGGTAAACTCCACAGTCCCGTCGCCTGGCAGTGCCGGGCTCGTGGTGCGGGTGCAGGCCCGTGCCTCTGCCGCCGGGGGTGGGCCACGCTGCCCCGAGCACGGACCCCCATGACCTGACAGCCTTGTCTGCCCCCCTCCAGGCTCTGGGCAGAGGGAAGCAGTGACCAGCACCATGCATGGCCTGTCCTGCGTGGTGCCCTCGCCCTGCAGACTTTGAAGCCCCTACAGCGTGCCGTGGCCACTGCAGGCCTGCCCACCAGCGCTGGATTATGTGCGTTGCCTTCTCCCTCTGCTCCATCGTCTGGCTGAACCGTGGCTTCAAGCTGAGGAAAGGGGCTGCACATCTGTGCCGGGGCCGGGCGTCTCTCGTCTGGCTGAAGGGGCCGTGCTCTTCCCACCGCAGCCACGATGGGCAGCGCCGACGGGTTCCAGTACCGCGCCCTCTACCCCTACCGCAAGGAGCGCGAGGAGGACATTGACCTGCTCCCCGGGGACGTCCTGGTCGTGAGCAGAGGGGCCCTGCAGGCCCTGGGCTTCAAGGACGGGGACGAGCAGATGCCCAAGCAGATCGGGTGGATCTTGGGGGTGAACGAGCGCACCAAGCAGAAGGGCGACTTCCCCGGCACCTACGTGGAGTACGTGGGGCCGGTCAAGATCTCCCTGCCCTCCCACAGGCCCCGAGTGCAGAGGCCTCTGCCGGCTACACCAGGGGCCGGCGCGTCCCGCCTGCCGGAGCCGCTGGAGCAAGGTGAGCTGGGCTGCGGGGGGTGTCGTGAAGTGCCGAGCTCCCGCCTGCCTGCGGGTGGGCGTAGGGGTCGGAGCAGCAGGCTGGGAGCCGGGACGCCGGGGCTCCTGTCCTGCCGGTCCTGCGAGGCCGAGGGCGCTCGTGCTCTCTGCAGCTCCCAACCTGCTGACGTGTCGCTGCCGAGGCCTTATCTGTGGGCTGGGGAGGCGAGGGGCAAAGGCAGCGCTGGTGTTTTCCCCGGCTCGGTGCGGCGGGCTGGGGCTGGGCTGTATCGCTCGCAGCTGACCTTGAACGAGGAACTTGGGGCTGGCCCTGGCGCCCAGGCCCTGCGTCTGGGATGCTGCGGGAGGGGGCAGCGCGGACGGCAGAGCCACGTGCCCACAGCTCCTCTCTGGGTGGCTGCCGTGGGCAGTGGGGCGCAGCCTGGCTCTGCCTCTCCTGCCCTGGCTGCCTGGCCTGCCGCAGCGCGCCAGCCCCTCAGCCCATGCCCAGGCCGGAGGCTCAGTTGGGGGCTGCGTGGCTGCGGCGGGGGCTGCCTGAGGAGAGCCAGGCCGCGGCGGCTGCTGAAGCAGCACATTCCAGGCCCGGTCACGTGGGGAAGCCGCGCTGTTTGCTTCCTCCTGGGCCCTGCCAGCGGGGTCAGGCTGGGAGCTGCAGGTTCCCGCTCCTCCGGGGCCCGGCGGCTGACATGTCCCAGCCCAGCGCTTCCCTCCCTGGGGCCCTGGGCTCGGCAGAGCAGCCCCAAGGCAGCTCCCAGTTCTGCTCTGCTTTCTGCAGGGATGAGTTCACCTTTGGAGGGAGTTTGCCTTGGTTAAGGGGGCCACAGACCCCCATGGGACCAGGTCGGGGCCTGCCTCAGATGCTTCCGGGCATGGGCGCTGTTCCTGCGTGTGTCTCTCTGATCCTCAGCCAGCCGCAGGCAGAAATTTGCTGATGTGGCTGTTTTTGTGTGAGCCCAGGGCTAATCCCCTGGGGCTAGCCCCCCAACACCCCCCCACAGCCAAGCCAGCGTTAACTCTTCCAGCACCAGCGCGTTGCTTTGCAGCGATGCTCACGGGCTGGGCAGGGTGGATGTGCCCAGAACGTGCCCCACAGCATGCAGCAGCACCCTCCGTGCAGGTGCAGACGCAGCCTGGGCAGCGGCTGGGCCTGGACTCCGCGTGGGCTGCGCTCAGTCAGTGACCAGCGCCTCAGTGAGTGGCCGAGCGGCAGGGCCAGCGTTAACCCTCCTCCCATTGCCCCCCCAGTCTCTCTCCTCCCGGACCTGACGGAGCAGTTCTCCCCGCCGGACATCGCGCCCCCACTGCTGGCCAGGCTCGTGGAAGCCATTGAGAGGAAAGGTGAGGGGGCTGGTCGTCAGGCAGCAAAGGGTTAACAGCGTGGCTGCCCCAGGCTGGTTACCCTTAACCCCTTTGCTGCTGCACCCCACACCAAGGAGCGAGAGGCAGCATGGGGGCCGCTGCTGTGTCATCCCCACAGCCTGGTGGTTTTGTCCTGGCTTGGTCAGCTGGCATGGCCCTGGGGCCTGGCCGGTCAGGCCAGTGCTAGCGCCTGGGTTGCTGCAGCCATCATCCGGCCGGGGCAGCGCACGGGGCCTCGTTCCCAGGCTGTCACATTGGGTGCACAGCCCCCATGGGAGCACCGGGGGGGGCAGCTGGGTCCCTCCCGTGCTCATGCCGCCAGCCCATGCTTGCTCCCCAGGTTTGGACAGTGAGATGCTGTACCGGACGTCTGGTTCGGAGCCGCGACAAGCGCTGAAAACGGGTAAGAGCCAGACCACGGCCGGGAGGCGCTCGGGCCCGTTCAGATGGGTGAGGTTGGGGTGGCAGCACCGGGAGCAGCAGGGTCCCGCTTGGCCGAGCCCTGCCCATCCTGGTGCCAAGCTTCTGGCCTGCTGTCTCCCCAGGGACCTGCCCACCTGCCCTGTCCCATTGGGGCACCAGAGGGGACCCACAAGGGTCATCCTCGAGGGGGAGGAGGGGGCTGCTTTTGTGCCAAAGGAGGGTGGTGCTGGGAGGAGTGAAACATGGCTTCTGTGCTGGGACCAGTCTCCTCCCAGCCCCTCCAGTGCCCAGTGCCCACACTTCTGCTGAGCTGCTTGGCATCATGGTGAAGCTGGGCTGGGGGTCCCAGGTGGGCGGGGGGCAGAGGGTGCTGGCAGGGCAGGAGTCCCAGAAGGCATCATCATTCGCCGCTGCGAGCTGCCCCCGTGTGGGGGCCAGTGCTGCTGGGGGAGAGCTCGGGGCAGCCGCTCTCAGGGCTGCGTGCTCGGGGCCCTGCCAGGGTTGCCACGCTTGAGCCTGCCTAAGGCATCCATGCTCTCTGCAGATGGGGTGCTGGGCGACCTGGAGCTGCTGGACGGGCGCAGCCTGGGCGAGGCGCTGCGGAGCTACCTGCAGGACTTGCCCACCCCCGTGGTGCCGGCATGCGTGCATGGTGACATCCTCCGTGTGCTGCAAGGTGAGGGCTGTCCCAGCTGGAGGCAGGGGCCTGGCAGGCACGGGAGCATGGAAGCATTGAGCTGGGCACAGCCCACATGTCCAGCCCTGGAGATGCCTCTAGCAGCCCTGGCCCTGCCCCTGCCCCTGCCCTCCAGCATGCCTTGCCCTTCCACAGAGATCCCCCAGCTCGAGACCTGCCGGAAGCAGCTGCTGCTGGTGCTGGAGCCTCCCGCGGTCCCGCTGCAGAACATGCTCACCCTGCAGTTCCTGCTCCGGCACCTGGCGAAGGTGTCCCAGCAGGCTGACAGCAATGGCCTCCATCCGCGGGTCCTGGGTGAGCTTTTTGGCCCGCTGCTGCTCCGGCTGCCCAGTGTCAGGTACGTGGCGGGCTGCCAGCTGCTGGGCCTATGGGAGGGCGCCTGCATGCGGAGAAGGCGCCAACCCTGCTTCTCTCCCTGCAGCTCAGAGCTGAGCCCTGACTTCTCTGCCGTGTTCCTGGAGAGGCTTCTGCAAGCGACGGAGTTGGAGCCGGAGCGGCTGCCCCCAGGTACCAGAGTCGTGCCATTTGCGCTTCCTCGTGGCACTCGAGCTGCAGGGGCGGCCCCAGGCTGGGGGAAGGCTACGGTGTAAGCGGGCACAGATGCCTGGCCTGTCTCACGTGGCATCCTGCTGGTGTGGCTCGGGCATGCCTGCCCCTGGAGTGAGAGTAGGGGCCTTCCCAGGGTATTACCATGGGTGGATGCCCCTGGGGGCAAGGCTGCTCCCCGGATGGGCGGGTGCAGGATTACAGGGCCTGATTGCTGCCCCTGTCTCAGCCCTGCCTCCGAAGCCGCCGAAGCCAAAGCCTGGTGTGGCCGGTCTGGCCAATGGCAGCAGCGCAACCCTGCAGGAGGCCGAGTGGTACTGGGGCGACATCTCCAGGTAACGGGTGCCAGGTAGGGGTGGAGGGCTGTGCCATGCTCTGAACCAGCAGTTGAGGGGGGCTGGCCTTCCTCAGGCCTGTCCTGGGTCCCTCGGCACACATGTGCACATGCACACGTGTGCGCCCTGTGATGCAGCGTGGGAGAGCCAGGGTGCAGCCCTGGGCAGGCATCACCAGCTCCATCTGTGCAGGGAGGAGGTGAACGAGAAGCTGCGGGACATGCCAGATGGCACCTTCCTGGTCCGCGACGCCTCCAGCAAGATCCAGGGCGAGTACACACTCACGCTTAGGTATGTGCAGCTGGTGGGGGGGGGGTGCAGGATGCTGTGGGGGCCACCAGCTGCTCCAGGCCCCTCTGTCCTCTGCTGCCCTGCACAGGGAGGGCTGGTGGGGGGGGCCTGGGACTCCTCGGGGTGGTGAGTCATGCCTGCTCCCTGTGCTCACCAGGAAAGGTGGCAACAACAAACTGATCAAGATCTTCCACCGGGAGGGGAGGTACGGCTTCTCTGAGCCGCTCACCTTCGGCTCGGTGGTGGAGCTCATCACTCATTACCGGCACGAGTCGCTGGCGCAGTACAACGCCAAGCTGGACACCAGACTGCTCTACCCCATCTCCAAGTACCAGCAGGTGTGGCTGGGGCCAGGGCCGGGGCACTGCGTGTTTCCAGGGCCGGCTCGGGGCCTGAGCCGTACTGCATTGCAGTGGCTGGGGTCGCAGCGGGCCTGGCTGAGCTCCTCCTGGCCTGGGAGCAGGAGCAGCAGGCGACGAGAGGGAAGGGGTGTCTTCAGCCTCCCTGGCCTGGTTGGGATGTGGGATGCAGCTGAGGGCCGGTGGCCGTGTCAGGCTCTGACATCTGTCTGGGCCCGTTTGGTGGCAGGACCAAGTGGTGAAGGAGGACAGCGTGGAGGCAGTTGGGGAGCAGCTGAAGGTCTATCACCAGCAGTACCAGGATAAGAGCCGCGAGTATGACCTGCTGTATGAGGAGTACACACGCACCTCGCAGGTACCACAGCGCTGCCCAGCTCCTGAGGCCCCGTCTTGCCCAGCATGGCTCGCAGCGCGGGCAGTGAGGCACCCTCCCAGCCCTGGCAGGTGCCCACTACTGGCAGAGGTCTGGTGCTGTGATGGGGCTTCGAGCTGAGAGGACATAGCTGAGGCCTGGAGGGGCTGTGGAGGCACTACAGGGTTTGCCTGGGTGGGGTGTTATGGGGGCAACATGGCCGCTGGGACAAGCCGTGCTGCCCTCGCTGCCCCCAGGAGCTGCAGATGAAGCGGACGGCGATCGAGGCCTTCAACGAAACCATCAAGATCTTTGAGGAGCAGTGCCAGACTCAGGAGAAATGCAGCAAGGAGTACATTGAGCGCTTTCGGCGCGAGGGCAATGAGAAGGAGGTGCAGCGGTGAGTGCCTGGCGCTGCCCCCGTGCCACGGGGTGGCCCAGCAGGGACTGCCCACAACGTGCCGGCCCTCCCCGGAGCATGTGGACACGGCTGTCAGCTCCAGCGCGCAGGGACAGGGACCCCCGGCCTGCCCACCCCTCACCTTGCCCCCTGCTCGCAGCATCCTGATGAACTCGGAGAAGCTGAAGTCACGCATCACAGAGATCCACGACAGCAAGATGAAGCTGGAGCAGGACCTGAAGAAGCAGGCGGTGGAGAACCGTGAGATCGACAAGCGCATGAACAGCCTCAAGCCCGATCTCCTGCAGCTGCGCAAGCTTCGTGACCAGTACCTGGTGTAGGTGTCCCAGCTGGTGCCCTGCTCCTGTGCGGGGCAGGCTCCCACTGGGCTGGGGACCCCATACTGGGCCGTGCTGCCCTCTGCTGGGCAACATGGGCAGGATGCAGGCCACAGAGCCACAGCCACCCTGCCAGCACGTGGCTCAGGCGCCCTTCTCCTTCCCAGGTGGCTGACGCAGAAGGGGGCCCGGCAGAAGAAGATCAACGAGTGGCTGGGCATCAAGAACGAGACCGAGGAGTGAGTGTCCCTTGCTTCTGCCGCATGCTGGGGTGGGCAGGGGTGTGTGGCAGCGCCTGGGTGTCACGGGAGCTGTGCAGGGCTCCAGTCGCCAGTCCTGGCGCAGGCCTGGCTTGGGGTTGCAGTGCAGTTGTGCCCCGGCATTCCCAGCTCTGCCCTAGGGGGTGGGCAAGTCCTCTCTGTGCTTGAGGTCCTGTGGCTGTGGCCTGGGGCAGGGGCTGAGGGTGAAGAGCTGAGCCCCAGTGAGGGCAGCAGCTGCAGAGCCCACAGCGGCACGTGCTGGGGTGAGGCCTGATGGGTCCTGCTGGCTCGGCCTGCAGCCTGTACTCCATGATGGATGACGAGGAGGAGCTGCCGCACCACGAGGAGCGGACGTGGTACGTGGGCAAGATCAACCGGGTGCAGGCGGAGGAGATGCTGTGCGGCAAGCGCGACGGCACCTTCCTCATCCGCGAGAGCAGCCAGAAGGGCTGCTACGCCTGCTCTGTGGTGTGAGTACTGCGCATACATATGCAAATGCTCCCTCCCCACACACCCCCTTACAGGGCTGTGGCCCTGTGGCGGTGGGGGATACATGGGGTGGGGCTGGCAGTGTCTCGGCCGCGGCTGGGCAGCCCTTCTTGCCTCTGCGCCCAGCGGCCTCTCACTGGAGAGGGCAGCCCAGGTGGGTGCTAGCAGCTCCCTCCCTGGGCTGCTGGAGACAGCTGGGAGTAAAGGGGGTGCCAGGTGTGCCTCTGGTGGGCACGTCCATACCGGGCCATGGCAGCCGCAGTGACGGCGCTGGTTTCCCCACAGGGTGGATGGGGACACCAAGCACTGTGTCATCTACAAGACAGCGACCGGCTTCGGCTTTGCGGAGCCCTACAACCTCTACGCCTCCCTCAAGGACCTGGTCCTGCACTACAAGCACACGTCGCTGGTGCAGCACAATGACTCCCTGAACGTCACCCTGGCCCACCCTGTCCTTGCCCCCCCGCCAGCCAGATGAGTTGCCCACTACGGCCCTCCCGGCCCTGGACTTTCACACCCTGGACAGATGGCCTGTCGTGCTCCGTGACCCCTTCCCAGCGCCCCTTCCGGTCAGCAGCTGCCCCCCGCTGCATGTGGGCAGACGGGCTGTCGGCTTGGGGAGCCCCATCGCCTGTCGGAGCTCGCCGAGGCCTGTGGACAGGATCGTGCTGCGATGAGCTGCTTGCTCACAACAGCCCTGGTTACCATGAACAAACGCCTGGGCTGGGGCAAGGCAAGTGTAGCAGCAGGCAGCTGGAGCTGGACACGCTGGGCTCGGGGTTGGCTGGCGCACGGCAGCGGACCTGCTGGACCTCACACTACGCATACGAAGCACTTGACAGTACTGCTGGGGGTGGCTCTGGGGCCCGCTTGCCCTGGTGAGACCTGGCAGGGGAAGGGGTGCTGGACCCCAGTGCAGTAGATGGGGGCTTTGGAGCTCTGCAACCCCCGGCTCCTGGCTGCAGGGTGGATCTAGAAGGTGCTCGTTGCTCTGACCTGCGTCCTGTGGCCTCGGGTTGCGTTCCCTGCGTGAGCAGCCAGCTGCTTGCGCTTCGCTGCTGCTGTAGCGCATCCGGGGATGAGCTGTGTTGGAGGGGAGGGGAGGGGAGGGGAAGGAGCCTTGCACCTGTAGCGTGGGATCGCCCACGTCCCTTGGCTTGGGTGGGTTCGATGGCAAGCCAGGGATGCACGTGGTGTCACTGTTGTGGGCTTGAGCATACTGCCCTGGCTGCCTGTGCTCATCATCCAGGTTGCTGCTGCTGCTGCATGCCTGGGCTCGCTTGGTTGTATGGCCAATATCGCTGCCAGGGCAGCGTCTCAGGGTCCTAGCAGTGGCAGGGGCAGATGCTTTTCATGTGTGCATTTGCACGCTCTTTTCCTCACCCCTGTGCAACCACGGCCCAAGTTGTGCCTGCTCCAGGTGGTGCGGTGATAGGCTGCGCCCCGCGCTCGTGCAGCTCTTCTGGCTGTGTCCCTGGGCACTCGTGGTTGGGCTCAGGGCTGCATCTGCACCCTGCTCTCTGGTTCAGACCTGTGGACGTGCTGGCCTGCTACACCCGGGCAGCATGGGGCTGTCTGGGCTCCATGCAGCGCCCTCCCCCGTCGCGTGCCCTCCTACTGCAGCGTGGGGCGGACAAGGCTCGTGGGGCTGGGGCACGGCGGCTCTGCTCCTGCTGTCGGGGCTGGAGCTGGGAATAAACAGCGCTGCCAGCTCGAGGCTCGGCTCCTGCGTCCTGCGGGTCCCGTCGCGTCGCGTCGCGTCGGGTGGGGGCCGGGGCTCTGGAAAGGGGAAGCGGCCGGGGCCGGGGCCGGGGCCGGGGCTGGGGCCGGGCTCCAGCAGCCTCCGCCCCCGGGGC